AAAAGCCCAATTGCTCCCAGGCTCCCAAGGCAGGCACCTACAGACATAACTGCATGATTCAGCCACTTGAGACACTCCAGAGTGATGACTGATTCAACCCCAAAACACACCACTGGGAAACACTCAAATCAAGTCAGTGGTATGTGACCGTTTAATCTTTAGCAATGGCTTCAGGTGATGCCCCCTCTGCTCTGCTCTAATGAGACCCCACTTGGAACACTGTGTGCAGTTTTGGTGTTGGCATAAAGAGGACATGGAGCTGTTGGAGCAAGTCAAGAGGAGGCCATGAGGATGATAGGGGCTGGAGCACCTCCTGTATGGAGACAGGCTGAGAAAGTTGGGGCTGTTCAGCCTGGAGAAGAGGAGCTGTGCGGAGACCCCAGAGCAGCTTCCAGTGTCTGAAAGGAGCTACAAGGATGCTGGAGAGAGACCTTCATCAGGACTGTAGTGACAGGACAAGGGGTGATGGGTTCAAACTTCCATAGGGGAAGTTCAGGTTAGATATGAGCAAGAACTTTTTACTCTGAAGGTGGTGAAGAGCTGAAAAAGGCTGCCCAAAGAAATGGTAAATGCTCCATCCCTGTCAGTGTTCAAGGCCAGGTTGGACAGAGCCTTGGGCAACATGGTCTAGCGTGAGGTGTCCCTGCACTTTCAGGGGGTTGGGAACTAGATGATCTTAATGTCCTTCCCAACCCAGCCTGGCCTGTGACTCTATGATGAAGCTCCACCCAGGACACCGCCAGTACACACAAACCCTGTAAAAACACAGAATCAGGTCCCAGTAGACACCAGCATGGTTTGTCCATGCTTTGCCCAACCCATGTGCAGAACCCACCAGCCTCCTGGATGGGAAACCCTCAAAACATCTGATAATTGAGCTGTGGAAGTTGGTTATCACTTAAACTGTTCTTCCTCTTCACTTTAATATCTTGTGGCTTTTCCTGCATGAGAACAGTTGTGAGATTCCAGCAGCAGGAATATGTCATCTTTACCCAATGATTCAATAGTCCTAAAACTGTGGGTATTATTTTTTCTCAAATCTGCTCCTTAATCCCATAATGCCATAAAATACCATTGAATCGGAGCTTAGCAGGATTCCAGAGGAACAGACTTCTAAAGAGATAATGAGAACTCCACATTTATATTAGATAGGATTGAAAACAGAGATGTCAGAACATACCAGATGGCAGATTATTTCATAGCTTTCCTTAATATGATTTCTTCAACCTGAAGCATCTGGTTCCACTATCAGAGATTATTAGATATTGGATAAGTCGGACCTGTAGACTGACCTAACACAGCAATTTTGATTTTCCTTCTAACCACAGGAGAGATTCCCATTAAATCACACATCACAGAATGAAACAGAAGTGCGTAAAATCTAGTATCAGAGGGGAATATCAGCAGCCCCTAGGATTCCATGTAAATACGTTTCACTTTCTATAAGGAAAACATATCTTAAACCCCCCATCCTTCATAAGGAAGCAGGAAATGCTGTGAATTGAACAATGAAACTCACAGATCAGCCTCCTCCTTCACAGTTTTTGCAGGAAATAAAAGAAAACTCTCTCCAGCTTATTTCTAGAGATGGGTGTACAAGTCCTGCAGTCTGCAGGCAGCACCTTGGGCACTTCCAATCTAGAAGCAGGAACTGTTTCACAAAACACACAGGAATCTCAGGTTGAAAAACCTCATCAAGAAGGACAGAAATGCGTTGCCTACCTCATTATGTCACTGTTTCACAGCAAGACTTGAAATAAGGTCCTTTGCACCAAAGTACTACTCCTGCCTTATGTTAGCCAAAGGAGTAGCTTTCTTGGTCACCCAAATGTAATACTGTTACCTGATTCACTCTAAAAGCACATTGTGATGCACACCCAACACAACCTTCCCTATTCCACAGAAAGCCAGGATCAGAAATTTCTACATTAATAAGTTCAAGACTAAGGTCTTAGAGACACAGCTCTATGGAATCAGAACCACACACACACACTATTTCATGCCATCAGCAGCACATCTGGGGAAGCAGTTCAGTGTGAAGGCCAGTACCGCTCAAGTGGTAAACAGCAAAGCAGACTTTCTACCTTCCAGCCTAAGTGAGCAGCCTCAGCTTTTAAGAAAAGAAAATGTCTCAAATAAACTGCATTCTATAATCAAAACAGAGGTGATCATACACACTACTAAAAGAGTCACAGAATCTCAGCCTGGTTTGGGTTGGAAGGGACCTTAAAGCTCATCCAGTTCCAACCCCCTGCCACAGGCAGGGACACCTTCCACTAGAGCAGCTTGCTCCAAGCCTTGTCCAACTTGCAAAAGAAACACTACAATTCCCCAAATCCAGACAAGCAAGACACCCTGTCCCCAGCCCTCGGAAAGACCTTACCTTCTCCTAAGCACCATCCTTATACTCAACACCTCTTCAGCCATTTTCTCCAGGGAAACTAACTTCTACCCTTTCTGCTGCCTCTGGGTATGCACTCAAAATGCCATCAGCTGGGACTCATGATGCCTCCTTATTGCCAACACCTGCCTGCAAAGAGCAATGAGCAGGGACACCTGCACCTCTGAACCCTTGGTGATGCTGAGCACAAGTCAGAGAAGTCTAAATACAAAAGATCACAAACATGCCAAATTTCCCTTAAACTCTCCTTAATTCCCCCTCACCTTGGCCACAAAGGGGACTTCTCCGGAGAAGAAAAGGCTCAGGAGACACCTTATAACAGTCTTCCAATACCTAAAGGGGCTCACAAGAAATCTGAAGAGGGGCTTTTTACAAAGGCATGTCATGACTAAATAAAGGGAACAGCTGAACAGCCTTTGGTTGAATCAGATGGGCTGCCTACTACATTTGAAAGTAATAGCTGCTTTCTAATACTGATCAGCTGGAGGGTTTTCAACAGTTTTTCCCCACTAATGCTGCAACTTTGAAACCATTTAGGTTAATTGCCTTTGACTTGAATCTATTTTAATCAGAGACCAGGATACTTGACTTAAATGTTTTTTATTAAACCCTGCATAAAATCAGCCATAGAATGGCATGTACAAAATAGCGAACGGATCTTCAAGTCACAAGTAGGAGAAACTGAAACTTTTCTAATCCTCCAGCAAACTCAAGCTATTTCGTAACCAGACCAAGTGCTCTCTTACAATACCATGTCAATTGATCCCTAGAAAAAAAGCAATAACTGAAATATGGCTCCTGAAGTTCTTACATAGATATAAAGCATTAAGTTATGCAGCTGCAGTCAGTACCCACAAATTCCCTCCACATTATCAGCCCAATTCCAAAATGATTCGTTTTTAATCAATTGCTGTGTCTGCTCTGGCCTCTCCACCACCCTCCCATGAAATGACGGATGGTGGCACTAAGCAAGAACACAAGGCAAGCCTCAAAATGTCAGAATTAATCCTTTTCTCCCCCCCCCGCCCCGACTGGAAAAAAAGGCATTACTTTTCAAATTAATTCTCACAAAGCAACGCTGGCTCTGCTCAAAGTCAGAGTTCTGGATAAGAAATGAAAATAAGAAGCTCAGGCTCAGGTAACAGCCAGAGAAAGTCTCACTTCAAGGATTTGTCATTGTAGTGGGATTTGCATATCATAATGCCAAAGGTGCAATTTGTACCTGCAATTCATTCTGTCCACACAAACCATACCAGCAAAATTGGAGGCCAGGCCTCTATTCCTTAGAAAACTCATCCAAATATTTCTGTTGTCAGTGGTTGGCAGGCTTGGGAACTCCGAGTGGCTGCTTGAAATTCATGCAGCATGCAGAGGAGTGAAGGAACAAAAGCTCCCTGTGCTCTCACATCCGTAACAACTTGCCACTGCATTGGAGACATGGAGCTGCATCCCCTGCCTGCATGATTTGCAATGGTTTGCAGAAGCCAAGCAATGGCTTTGTCACTGCCCCAACAACAGAGGCATTGGACATGTAATATCTCTTAGAATCTAAATCTCTCTTAGCTCATTTCTTTACCAGGGGTTTCACTCTAGACAAACTGACACCTTCCTATTCTGAGGAACACTCTGCCAGCCGTATCTAAAATTAACTTTCATAGAGATAAACTTACAGCATGTCTATCTCACACTTAACAAAATGATCTGGCATTTCATTTAAAGTCTGTTCTTCAATGTTGCTTAGCATCACCATCACTGTCATCTTAAAAGGTCATTCCGGAACAATAGTAGAGGAAGGATATTGCCACCTGAGCCAGGAGAGTCCCTTCAAAGGCATCTGCACAAATCTCCAACGGCAAATCCAAAACCATCACCCCAGGAGGAGCACAAGGGCTGCTGGAGAGCCCTGGAGGTCTTGCAGGGTCACAAAGGAGATAAAGGAGTCTTTGCACACATTTACAGGGCAACAAACACCAAAGTTCAACAGCTCAGTGAACAATCCTTTGCTGACAAAAGCAGATGGGAGCTTCTGATGCCACCCAAAATAATGTATTGCTTTAGGGAAATAGAGAAAAAAGAGTGAGAAAAATTTCACTTTCTTTCCCCTGATAATTTGTCTTTATGAACTAGCCTACATAAAAACTGGAGAAGGACTTCTGATCAGGGCCTGTAGTGACATAACAAAAGGGAATGGCTTTACATAGAAGAGACTGAGACAAGGGCTTAGGCAGTTCTTCCCTGTGAGGGTGCTGAGGCGCGGGCACAGGGTGCCCAGAGAAGCTGTGGCTGCCCCATCCCTGGCAGTGTTCAAGGCCAGGTTGGACACAGGGGCTTGGAGCAAGCTGCTCTAGTGGAAGGTGTCCCTGCCCGTGGCAGGGGTTGGAACTGGATGAGCTTTAAGCTCCCTTCCAATACAAACCAGTCTGGGATTCTGTGAACAATCCGATTTTCAGCCAGACTACACTGGTTACTGAGCACAGCCCTGTAAAGAATCAGGAGGGAAGAGTGAACAGTGTCACCTGAGAATATGAAGGCAACCATCTCTCCTGGTTCTGGGATGACACCTAAACATGCATTCCCTCATGGAGCAACTGGTACTTACTTGGTTGGACGATAATCTGGTATGGAACGATCCAGTGAAATTTTCTCACTGAGGTAGGAGTTGTAGCCATATTTCTCATGTGGTCCCTTTGCTTTCTCCTCCTCCTCAGGAGACAGAGTGGCTGGGAGGCCACCTTTACCACGTCCACCATAGCCTTCAATGAGACCAAGTGACTTGGACAGACCTCGAGAGAAGAAAAAAGCCACCATCACTGTTAAAATTCATCACTCTTGTTTCCAAGCTATCAAAGAAGCAGACACAATCTGAAAATCTGGGGTTGTTTGGTTTGGTTTTCTGAAAACATTTCAAATTCTGGTTCTTTGCCATTCACTGGAATGAAAAATGACTCAAATCTTGAAATTCCTCATGGCTCAGGCACACTGTTCCCAACAGCTCTGCCACCACAGCATCCAACTGATAACCTGTCCCAGGGATCTGGGCATTTATCTAGCTGTTAGGAAGGCTATTCAGGCCTCATGCCCACTCTCAGAGGTAATTACATGTAAGGTTAGACGTCCCCAGGAGAAGGATAGCTTGAACACAGTCCAAGAATAAACCAGGCTTTGTTAACTGCCAGCTGAATGAATTTTTGCTCAGTATGAAGAGTGAACAGCATACAAATGTTACAGATTTAAAAACAAATTCCCCTCAAAGCTTTCTTATCTTTTGAAGTACAGCATTCCCATTCCTCTATCAACTGGAATTATTTATTTATATTTGCATAGCTGAAAGAAACAGGCAAAGTTCAAAATGAGCTGCACAGAAAGAGCTACACTGGTGATTCAGTGGAGATTGTGGGAAACCAAGTTCATGCTCATGTTATTATTTATCAGACAGGACTCCTTGAATTTTAATATTGCTCATTAGCAGAGACTCATATTCTTCCTTTTGTCAGAAACAAAGTATTGATGTTTTGTGGCTTGGTTTTGGTTTGTAAAAAAAGAAACCAGGTATTCCTTTGTTTGAACAGCATAGCCCTAACTCTGAGAGCAGAACTGACTGTTGTCACCACTGATGCTTTGGACGAGACAGTAACCTTGAGGTCCTGAGGAAATGAAGCCTGTTGACTGCAAAGACACCTGAGAAATGCCAAGACATGGCTTTATACCCAGCAGCTTTGACTGATGAGCCTATAATGCCATTGACTGCTTTCCTCCAAGACCATAATCATGACAACTAGGCACACACATCCCCCAGCATGCATTTGTCTCTCCTCACTCCTCACTAAGTATATTCCCTTATTTCTGCATATGAACTTCTTACTCCCTTTACTACCATAAACCATGTCTTGATAAATAGAACTAAATCAGTGTCATTTAACTAAAGGAATTGATTAAGGTGACTGATCCACATGTGTTGGACAGGACTCTACCATGAGACCATCATCCTCTCTCTTGGTGCCACTCGGGACAGCAAACACAGCCGCAGGGACAGTCACAAAGATGAACATTCCCAGGTGCAATGTGCCAGGGAGGATCTCCGTGTCTGTCCCTGTGCTGGCTGAACATTTCATCCTCCAGCTCAGGCTGTCAGAAGGGTTCATCCGTGCAGCCTGCATGTCACTTTGGTGTAGAGCACTTCACAGCAAGAGTCAAGTAATGCCTGGCAAGAAAGATCATTCATGTCCAAACAGCTAAGGATGAAATTTGCTTCCAGCTAGCTAAAAAGATGGCTCAGAAAGAGGCAGGACTGAAACCAAACCGTGGCAGCAGACCCTCGCCCAACCAATCCATTCGTTTACCTTTACCTGCCCCATTTTAGCGCTGTGCAAAGAAAGGCACATTTTTGTGAGCTTGAGATGCCTTCACTGTAACTTTGGTAATTATCCCCAAACCAGCCCATGCACTTCCTTGGCATTTGGGTCTTAAAAGACAAGCCATCTCTCACATCATGCTTAAACAGCTTAACACTGCAAATGAATCATAGTCATAGGATGGTTTGTGTTGGAAGGGACCTTAAAGCTCATCCAGCTCCAACCCCTGCCACGGGCAGGGACCCCTTCCACAAGAGCAGCTTGCTCCAAGCCCCAGTGTCCAACCTGGCCTTGAACACTGCCAGGGATGGGGCAGCCACAGCTTCTCTGGGCACCCTGTGCCAGTGCCTCAGCATCCTCACAGGGAAGAGCTTCTGCCTAAGAGCTCATCTCAGTCTCCCCTCTGGAAGGTTAAAGCCATTCCCCTTGTCCTGGCCCTACAGACCCTTGTCAAAAGCCCCTCTCCGGCTTTCTTGTAGGCAATGATTAAGTGCCTCTAGTGATGCAGAAACGGACATCACCTCTGAAGCCAGTTTTTCCCCACACACAACTATCCAGAGCTGGTTTCCACTACAACCTTCTGCTGTGGCCTCTTAGTAGCACATGCTTATAACATCTTCACACTTTGAAAGCCTTCAGCCCTTTGTAAACCTGCCTGAAATTGGCCCAGAAGAGCAAGATGTTACAGAGAGACAGCAAGCAAGAAGGAGCAAGATCATGATCCGATCAGCCTCTTTCCTTGAAGAACAAGGTTAAAATTAAAGTGTCAGAACTATTCCCAAGTCCCAGACCAAATCCTTTGTCATTCTGGGCAGGCACCAAAGCAGAAGCGCTGAACCACTGCCAAAAAGTCTCTCCTGAAGCCTGCTCCACCCTATCCATAGCGATAAATAGCATTAATACCCCTCAAAAAGCTTGAGGAGTCAATTCACTCCCAGGTGCATTTTGCAAGGTCATGAGATGGTAACAGGCTGCATCAAGATAAGATGTTCAGTGCAGATCTGTGAGCTTCACTCATCCTTAAGCCACATTCACTCAGCAAGTACCTCAGAAATGAAAACATGATTTTATTTTCAGATCTCCTAAAACATCTGAACTTTGGGACAAAAGGAGCGTATTGCTCTTATATTGCAGGAAAAGCAGGAATAAAAGACACCACTTAGAGCTGCTGAGATCTGAGTCACTCCTGCCAAAACAGCCAGCCAATGGATCCCCAGGGGACTGACAAAGGCTTGGCTATAAAATATAAATTATTATCTATATTTCATATAAAAAATTAATCTCTACAGCAAAATCATTCCTAGACTGAGCACAGTTGTAGTAAATATGCTAGTTTCTCCTTAAATGGGTGGTATATTTCATAAGGAGACAGCTGGTTTCTAGGACAGAGAAAACCTTGGTAAAATACAACATAATATGATACGCAGCCTTAATTTATAAGGCCCCCAGCCAAACAGGCTCCCCTGGCAGCAGGCAGCTGGAAAAGCATTTTGCTGCATGTCAGCCTAGATGAAGGAAAACATTAACCCAACGCATACAAAGCTCAGCTGAGGAAGCTGCTGTCATTAAGGCCAGGGAAGAGGGAAGAAAATCTGAAACTGAAAGGCATTTCAGGTCCTGAGCCTTAACACTGGGGGTGGAGGAGGGGAAAGAACAGGAGGAAACAATGTAGGAAAGATTTATGGAAAAGCAAATTTTTTAGTTGTGCCTTTCTTTCCTGCTGCACGAGTTACAGAGCACGTACAGCTCAGAGCGAAAGGCACATTCCTATAGGGAAGAAGAACACGATGCCCCCTTCTCTAGAAGGTATTCTAGGTTGCCCAGAGAAACCCCATCCCTGGCAGTGTTCAAGGCCAGGCTGGACACAGGGGCTTGGAGCAACCTGCTCTAGTGGAAGGTGTCCCTGCCCATGGATTGGAACTGGATGAGCTTTAAGGTCCCTTCCAACCCAAAACAGGCTGGGATTCTATAAAATAAACAGTAGTGAAATGGTACTAGAAAATAAAGAGAAAATTAAGATGGATACCTTTGAAAAATACAGCTCTTAAGCATCATGGATCTTCCAGCCCAAATAACTCTCCTAGGGACACGTGCTTCCAGCCTTACTTCAGCTAGAGATCTGAAGGCTAAAAAGGAATTTCTGACTCAGGGAAAAAAGGCAAAACCAATGAGGTAAATGGCTTAACATGCGTCACATGGTGGAGACGGTCTCTGTGTGACCTCTCAGGGAAGATGGAAAGAGAGGACACAACTGATGGGCTTTTAGGGATATTTTATGAGAAGCCAGAACAGATACCAAAGGGCAAAATGTAGTGGGTAATGTTGGAAAACTGCTGAAGTTTTGAGCGTTGCCCTGCTGATCGCTGCAAACACAGACTATAAAGGGAGGATTCATTAACCAGAAGGGTACCTGGGACACGGGCACCAACTTCCCTTTTAGCTTCAATGGAACATGAGACCTCTATTTTCTCTTACCTCCCTGCAGCAGTTTTTACCCACTCTTTGCTCTGACCATTTATTAGACCGAAGAACACAAGTTCCTCTGAGTGCAAGTTACACCTACACAACACATAACCATGCGCTGCTCAAGGGCTATGGGAATTGCCATGGGAATTCCAAATACAACTGGCTCTGTCAGCTTCCTTTGCTCTCGCTGCCTCCCCAAAGCACCCGTATGCTTGTGCAAAAGAAACCAAAGGTAGCAGTAAAAGGATTAGAAAGTAAGAAATCACTTTCTTGGGGAAAAACAGAAACAACAACAGTATGAATTTATAAAATGAGCTTAAATACTGGAGTCCAGTGGAAAAATCAGTGGGAAAAATCCCTAAACAGTTATATCCAGCGTAGATGCCAGGTATGTTTTCCCCAGGGCTGATGAAAAGCCAGCATATCCCCACAGCCAAACACTGCAGCAGGCTTCCAACAAATCCCTCTTGCTGAAGGATCACTGCTACCACCTTCCATTTGGACTGACTACCCTTCCAGTCAGCTGTCTTTAGGAAATACCTAAAAGGGTGCTCAGGCATTGGAACAGGCTGCCCAGGGCAGAGCTGGAGTCACCATCCCTGCAAGTGTCCCAAACCGTGTGTGCCATGGGTTAGTGGTGGCCTTGGCAGTGCTGGGGAATGGTTGGACTGGATGAGCTTAAAGGTCTTTTCCAACCTAAACAATTCTGTGATTCTATAAAACCAGGCTGCCCAGGAAAGTGCCCGCTTCTCAGTATAATAGTATATCCAAGGATAGATTAGATGAACATCTGTATCACAAATGATTTAAGCACAGATGCTTAAATACATACATCATGATGGGAGCACTCAGACAATGTTAAGTCTTCTTCCCACCCTGTACTCTATGAAAAGGATGGGAGATGACAGTGCAGTCAAACCGCAGAGTTTGAAGTTGTGTTTGAAATGTTGTACCATAACTATACA